GGTGAGGAACTGATATATGAACAGTAATTTAGGGCACAAATATCTAGGTAACCCATTGGGCCAAGAAGTTGGGTCGTGAGAATTTTCCTAATTGGGCCTAAGTGAATTTGGACCTAAATAATCAAGACTTGGGCTAACAGAATTTTGGACTTTAAATAATAAAGTATTGCACATTATAATTATTAAATTTGAATTTAAAAATGATAAGAAATTCGATATTCGGAATTGAATTTGACTTGAATAGTTTAAATTGGTTTTATAACGGCTAGAAGAATACGCTTTATTTTATCGTTTGGGGTTAAAACTTAGTGACACGTTTTTCAAGAAAAATAATTTTATAATATTTGAAATTTCTCGATCGCTACAATGCCATATTCCTATTTTTGCTCAATGTATCTCATTCCTAATGTCTGCTTGAACAAATTATTGCTGCGAGAAAGCTAGTTGAAATTGTACGTGTTACCGAGTTTATCAACTCATAATTCTTTTCTATTGAAATGAAATGATGTTGCTACCTTACTTTAACTACTATCGACTTAATTTACCTGCTACTACTGACTTTTCTGCTTTTATATCATTGTGTCATTGCGGTTTATTTATGTTCCAATTATATTTCTGAATGTTATTGAGGATCTTTGTTCTTGGTCAAGTAATGCAGAGTGAAAGCAATAATCATTTGGCTCCTCTTCTCACTGGCACACAAATCCAAATTGGTAAAGCTGCTGTATGGAAAACCTTTATTTAAAAATATGAGTCCGTGTGAATTTCTGACCTCATGAAAATTAACTGATGGGATTAAACTGAAAATCTGTTTTCCAGTTGTTCTACCTCAATCCGATATCATTCAATTGAGTTATCTTGATTTTGGAATGATTTTCTTCTTTCACCAGTCTTGGTCTGTCGATAAGGTTTCTCAAATTAGTATCTGACTAGGGAAATAGAAAAGTTTAACTTAATGTTCTATTTGGAAACGAACCCTTCGCCATCTTATTTTGGAGCGATAACGAGTCTTCCTTCAATCTCTTGGAATGTCCTGCTAATTGACTACTACAGCTAGGGACGGGACTGATCCCAAGAGGTCTTTCTTTCTAGTTATGAAATTGCTTCGTTTATCTAAGGATTGCATGTAATTTCTGTTGGATCTTGATCTTTTTATCATAGTGTCTGTTACAAGAAGCATGAGATTTGCAGTGTATATTCATCTAATAGATGAGGATGCTTTAACAAAGATATCAGCAATAGCGATCTGATAGACGAGGATCCTTTAACAAAGATATTAAGAAAGGCGTTCTGACATGAATTGCATGTGTGGGCTTGCAACCTCAGCGTGGAGAGTTCGATTCCTGGAAGGCACAATTTGTGGAAGGCACATTATGTGGAAGACATGAATTGTGGAAGGCAGTGATGAAGACTCTCTTGGAGTCAGGAGTTAAAGTCATGCAGGAACTTGGGAGCCAATAAGAGCATAACCCGCAATTTACTTCCTTAAGCTACTGATGGGCTAGTGGCTAGGGGTTCAGGATATAGTCTGGTTAAGTTGGGATACCTGGGTATAAAAAAAAAAGGCGTTCTTACAGACATCGAGGATCTAGGTTTTTTAGACTGTTGATTCTGTGGTGATAGCACGGCACAGGTCTGACCTTAAGTACCACCTCAATCGAACTGTGCTGAGTTCGACCGCACAGTGCCCCAACCCATCCTGTATTAGAAAACTTGAGAATAACTGTTTCTCTTCCATAGTCCTTGGACTAGACGGGC